ACCAGTAACCACCACGCAAGACGCAAGGTACCACCACCTCACGACACCCTATGCCTGCTCATTTTACCCGCCCCGAGTCCCCCGACCAGGCCCTGTCATCCTGATACCACCTCACTTTCTGGAGCTGCCCGCCGCCTGTCCATAATTAATACCTTTAAACTTCTCGGTTATTCAGCGGGAACCCTCGGTCCTTCCTCTTGCTCCCTCTCTCTCTCTCTCTCTCTCAGTCTCTCTGCCGTTCAGTGTGTACTTTGTACCAGGGGGGGCTGAAGTGGTTTACGTCCTTTCCCGATTGTACACGTATACACCTTACCCACGCACCGGAGAGGGAAAAAGACCTGGCCATCGCATCGCACATTGTCGTGTGATCTATCCGTCTGTCCTGCGATTTCTGTCCTGCGACTTTGCGACCGAGACGACCTTCGACACCTTGGACGTGCCGTCGTGACTCGTTCGTCGCCGCCTTCAGAAAAAGGGCATTCAGAGATCGACAGACCAAAGGTGCTGGCCGGTATTGGCCACCCGTCCACCGTCCGTCCCAGTGCGCCCTTCCCAGCCCGGCTGGGGCGCCCCATTCAGCCAGGCGTCAGCCGCCGCAGAACCAGAACCTTGAATTACTCAGTCGCTACACCCCGAACCGAAGCCTGCGAGGTTTGTCCCAGCAGGAGCGACCACCTTTCCTCGATTGATTTCGAGAGATTCCTCCAAAATCACGTCACAGTTGCCCTGCGCAAACTCTCCGCCGGTCATTCGTCGCAACGTCACGCCTTTTCCCTACGCCTTCTCCGCCTTCTCCGCCTTGACTGGGAGTGTGTGTGGGTGGGTGCGCCGACTCGAACACCACTGACGAGTGACGACCGACCAGGTGCTGCAGCCGCAAGCCGTAACCGCAAATCGCAGTCGCATCCCAAACGCCGCGAAGCCGAGAAACGCCGCCTTTCTTTTCCCCCTTCTGATCAACGACGACCAGCTGCTTTCTTTCGACCTCTCTTGTTACTCTTACGCATTCGGCTTCTGCTCGATAATCATTGATAAACCAACTACACATCTCTCTCAAACTCACGATTTGTGACTTGTATTCTGTGACTTTGGGTCGCAATTGTGGACACTTCGTTCTACTTCCGCAATCCGGCAACTTCTTACGGACTCTTTTTTTTTTTTTTTTTTTTTTTTTTAGCTATTCTTATCAGACCTCCGCTTTTGCGATTGCGCTTGCGAACTATTACCAACCACTCGAACGAGAGAGCGCGCAGCGACGCATTCTGGCGACGACAGCGAACAGCGAACAACGACCAACAAACCGACGACCGACTGTCCAAGACGACGACGACACCGACGGCGATCAATAATTACGAAACGGGCGAGCAATACTATGACGAATTACTCTAGCATTACTGATGGGAACGCAAACTCAATTGCGTCTGGAAGCTCCGGCGAAATGTCACGGTATGCCGAACTCCCGATCCTCCCCGCAGAAGGCGCATGCAGCCAGATGATGGAAGAGAGCTCTGCTGACGTATGGAATACATCCTGCAGACAACGCCGAAGAAACGCCAAGGAGGGGGGAGGCCAGGCCTCGATGCTGAGTAGCGTCATCAACCTGCTCAATACAAGTACGTGTTGTCGCAGACTCCCACGAGATGGCACACGAGTGCGGGGCAAGAAGAAGAGCTGACGAATCGTGACTACAGTCGTTGGCGCGGGGACGTTGGCAATGCCATCAGTGGTATCACACATGGGCTGTATGCTTGGTGTGTTGATGATTGTGTGGTCTGGACTCACGGCCGCCTTTGGCCTGTATCTTCAGTCTCGCTGCGCACGCTACCTCGATCGAGGGACATCGTCCTTCTTCGCCATTTCCAAGATTACGTACCCGAACGCCGCCATCATCTTCGACACTGCCATTGCGATTAAGTGCTTCGGTGTCGGCGTTTCCTACATGATCATCATTGGCGACTTGATGCCAAAGGTTTTTATCGGCTTATTCGCGAGTGCCGTGGCGGAGAACCCGTATCTCGGCGAGAGGAACTTCTGGATTACTGCCTTCATGCTGGTCATTATCCCTCTCAGCTTTCTGAAGAAGCTCGACTCGCTCAAGTACACCAGCATCGTTGCTCTGGTCTCCATCGGCTACCTCGTCATTCTCGTCATCTATCACTTCTCGACGGACCGGCTCAAGGACATGAGCGAGATTCGAGTTGTTGAACCCGAAAGCGCTGTCGCATTCCTCAGCACGTTGCCCGTTGTTGTTTTCGCTTATACATGCCACCAGAACGTAAGTTGAATTTTGGTCAGTATTTGAACATTTTGCTCATTCAGTGAACAGATGTTTGCTATCTTGAATGAGATTAAGGACAACTCTCCTGGCAGCGTCATTGGAGTTGTTGGCACTAGCATCGGCACTGCTGCCTCGATTTACACTGTTGTCGCCATCACCGGGTACCTCACTTTCGGCAACGCTGTCAAGGGCAACATTGTCATGATGTGTAAGTCACTATGGGAGAGCAATTTGCCCGAGCCTTACTAACGCCTTCAGATTCTGCGACTGCCGCTTCGTATATCGGCCAGCTTGCTATAGTTGTGCTCGTCACCTTCTCCGTACCTCTGCAGGTTCATCCTTGCCGCGCCTCCGTCGATGCTATCCTCAAGTGGCGACCCAACCGTGCTTCAAACGCCAACGGCCGATCTAACTCTCCGGGCGGTCGTCCGCTGCTGCCTTCATCGGCTTCTGTACGCTCCGACCACGGATCTAGCTCTTCCATGGGCGAGACTCGATTCGCCATCTTGACGTCGGTCATTCTCGTTCTTTCCTATGTAACCGCTCTCTCAGTTCACAGTCTCGAGAGAGTCTTGGCCTACGTTGGAAGCACCGGCTCAACTAGCATTAGCTTCATTCTTCCAGGCCTGTTCTACTACAAGATTAGCGATCCTGATAGCATCCATCAGCAACGTCTTCACAAGGAGGACGACGACGCCGATGCTCCCGTTGACGAAGAGGATGCGGATCCTATGGCTACTAGCATCGCTAGTCTCGGTAGCATCGCTAGTCACGTTGCGGATCCTCGCCAGTGGAAGCGCAAGTGGCGTTGGGACCTCGAACACATTGAGCAAGACGCTCTCCGCAAGATGGCTCTGGCCCTCGCCATCTACGGCATATGTGTCATGGTGGTCTGTCTCTTTATGAACGTTGTGTTCCACGCATCTCACTAATTGCGACTACTTTTATCCTTCATGAAGATGAAGGTTAGAGGAAGATTTGTTTCATTGAGGCGATGATGCAGTTATATTTACTACACGGCCGCTTGGGATAGAGATACGGCGACGTCACAAAAGTCCCACGGGCAGCGTCGCGCATTTTCGGAGTTGGATGGCATGCTTCTCTTCTGATTCTTGGGGGGCTTCTTTTGTTTTCTTTGTGTAACCCTTACCAGCGTGGTGGCTGCATGTCAGGGGCGTTGGTTACGTCCAGCATTGGTCTTTTTCGTTTCTTTCATCAACGTTTAGTCTAGAATCAGTTCTACGACCGACATGGCCCATTGGCTTATAGTCACAGCGGCCTTTTGGCGACCTTTAAAGATAGCTTCAATTGGGAATGACATTTTGGTCTTTTTACAATCCTCTTATTGTACAACGCTTGTGATGTGACATGGTGCCGGATGACCCTGGCTTCGTCACTTCACTTTTCCTCGTCCTTGCCCGCGGGAGACTCAAGTCACGACCCTGACCTGTTCATGGCTTGCCCGTTGTTGTCTCTTTTCGTCTTAGTAGTACGATTCCCACCATCAGCTCCTTCCACCCTGCACGACAACGAATCTATTGCAGAAAAGAGCCAACTGCAACCCCTGCGATTCGCGCTGCGCTTTCGATGCTTTTGATACACAACACTGTCCCAGCCACTGAAGGCTGGACCACTCTCATTCCAACACAACTCCGTCCACGTCAAATTCTCCTACAAATCGCCGCCTTCGCCTATGATGATGCCGCCGGTGCCGGAGCCTTGGCCTTCGCCGGAGAAGCAGGCGTCCTGAGCGACTTTGCCGCCGTCGCCGTGTTGGGGGTGCCGTTTGGCCTGTACTTTGGCTCGAGGATGCCGACCATGGAGAGTAGGCGCCAGACTGTCTCTGTGGGCTGGGCGCCGACGCCGACCCAGTAGCGGGCGCGGAGGGAGTCGAGGCGGATGTCCTTGTGCGGCTTGGTTGTCGCGTCGTAGGGGTCTTGGCGGGGGACGGGATCGTAGGTGCCGATTACTTCGATTGGTTTGCTGTTGCGGGCGGTTCTGTGGGGTGAGGGTTAGCTTATGGTGTTTTTATATTCGAGGTTTGGGGTTTGTCATGATGTGTTGGGGTTCTGTTGTTGAGAAGCTTCGCTGTGCGGCGGTGAAAGGGTATAATATCCGTATAACACAGAGGCCGGTGTGCTTTGTTGGAGAAGGATCGGGGGGTAGTGATTTGAGATTGGAGGCGTACCTTGCTTGTGTGACGACGATGTTGTAGAAGGGCTGGTTGACGCGCCCGAAGCGGGCGAGGCGTATGCGAACGACCATGATTGGAGGTTTGTGTGGGGAGTTCGACGTCGAGGAGGATGTCAGAGAAGGCAGCTTCGTCGGGAGGTTCGGCGGGAAGTCGATTGAGGTGTCGCGGGTGTTTTGGCGTGTCGTGATCGCGGAGCTGGAGACAGCTTCGATGATGTATAGCAAGGTGATGGATGTGGTGTGAGGCTTTCGGTGGCCTTGCTTGTCTCCGGGGGAATTTTTGGTCGGTGGGGATGTTGTTCCGCTTCCGAGATTCTCTGGGCGCTAGTACCGGAACGGCAAGGCCGGGAGGAGATGGCTGTAACGGGGACCGGGGACCCGGGGCCCCTACCGATTCTAGCGGGTTTTTTAGTGATAGGAGCGGAAACCAACAAACAGAACCAACAAGCGGTGGAAGAGAGGGAAGCGGGGGCGAACTTGTCAGAGAGAGGGGGAATTCGGGGGGGAGAAGGGGGTTGGGGGGGGAACTTGCCTGGCTACATACATTGACTTTCCACTTGGTTCTCACTAGTTACGGCTCTTTCTAGTGCATCGACTAAATAAACTTTCCACGACTCGAGCCACCTACCCTACCTACGGTAGGAAACCCATTTGCAATGGCCGACGTACCGGCACCTCCCCCGCACCCAGCATCGGAGCCCGTTACAGAGCCGGCTGCCGAGACGGCGGTTCAACCGGCGACTCAACCGGCGACCCAGGCAGCCGCTTCTCCTGAAGCTGAGGGGGGAAGCACAGCCCCTGCACAAGAAACCGTCGCCAAAAGCGACTACGGGATGGACGCATCCTCACAGCTCACTGGCACAACGAACAATTCCCTGGCGTCCGTGATCCCAAGTATCTTTAACTATCGGTTCGAGAATGGCCGCAGTTACCACCGCCTCAGCGATGGCAGCTACCTCGTTCCCAACGACGAGGCTGAACAAGAGCGGCTCGACATTGCGAACCATCTCTGGCTCATTGCCTGGGACGGCAAATTCTGCCTGTGTCCCAAGAAAGAGGGCGCCAAGAGGGTTCTCGACCTCGGCACAGGCACGGGCTTGTGGTCCATCCTATACGCCGACGCGTACCAAGGAGCAGAGGTTCTAGGCGTGGACCTGAGCCCGATCCAACCCGAGTTCGTGCCACCAAACTGCTTCTTTGAGGTTGATGATCTGGAAAAGAATTGGACGTGGACGATCCCGTTTGACTTCATCTTTGCGCGCAACATGGCTGGCAGCTTCCAGGATTGGGCAAAGGTCATTGCGCAGGCGTTTAGAAATCTCGAGCCTGGCGGGTACTTTGAGGTCCACGATAACCTGTACCCCCTCGAGTGCGACGACGGCACCCTCAAGGAGGATTCGGCGCTGTTCAAGTGGTCAAAGTACCTCGTCGAGGCCACGGACAAGATTGGCCGCCCCATCACCATTGCCTCCAAGCTTGACAAGATGCTCGAGGAGGCCGGATTCGTCGATGTGGTGGTCACGAAGCAGGTCATGCCGGCGTCGCCTTGGGCCGAGGACGAAAAGTTGAGGAACCTGGGTCTGTGGACGTCGGCTTCGCTCCTCCTGGGCATTGAGGGCCTATGTCTCGCCCTCTTTACTCGCGTGCTGGATTGGGACACTAACGAGGTGCTTGCGTTTTGTGCAAGCGTCAGGAAAGATGCCAAAAACTTGGGCATCCATGCGTACTGGTACGGATACTCCATCTACGGACGGAAGCCGTTCCCCAAGGAAGGGGAAGAGGTACCGCAGAACTGAGAACTGACATGGAGATTTTGTTTTGGGGTTCGGCGGGTTTCCTGTTAGAAAGGCTGGTCCAGATGGTGACTGCCTCGTAATTTCCAAGCGTGCGTTTTTCGAACTGCATTATTTGATACTTTTACACTATTGCTCGTGCTTTGTCGTTCCAACGTCTATGCTTCGACCTTGCCTTTGGCTTCGCTACATTACATTTATTAGGACCAATACTCATGAGTGACCTCTAGTCTTCCGGAGCGTCGATACGCGTTCCTAGATTACGCTTTGCCTCTTGTCTGCGGCCTCTATTACACGAAGTGTGTGCTGGTAGTGTCCCCATAATCTACGCCCATCTAGTAGACTTCAACACAGCGTGAGATTGGTTTACGCACCGAGGATATCCATGGCTACATGGACTGTTAGCTTGCTGGTGGCTGGAGAAGTTGACGGACAAGCCAAGACAAGCTTCGGGGGGGTTGAGAACGGGCCGGTTGGACTACGTGCCGATGACAACCCTCGCAATGGTTTCCGTAGAGATGCACCAGAATCCTTCGAGGAACGTTGGCAACAAACTTCATGCCAAGGGCTTCAAAAACGTTAACGTTGAGTCAATGCTTCGACAGCGCTTCGCCGTAGACGTTGGCCGAGAAATTCGGAAGGAAACTCGCACCGTGATCCAACAGGGCTGCTGTACGAGAAGTCTCCTCCTGGACACATATCCAGTTCGTTTGATCGAACAGTTGGCGCGGAGCATTCGACTTTTTCCATATATGTCCTTACTTCTCGTCATGAATCTATGATCAACATCATTCTTTCACCTCCATCACCATCACAAATCACGATGGAACAACACTTACACTTCGTAGAAGGTCCAGATTCCACACCAGATATCTCATTTCAGTCCTCATTTGGTGAGAAGGATAATTTCTTTCCATATCAGCTCAGCGAGGAATGCGAGGATCTGGAGGCTTACGAGCCAGGTGTCTTCCATCCTGTGCATCTTGACGATGTGTTTGATGAGCGATACCGAGTCCGTCACAAACTCGGCTTTGGTGGCTTCTCGACTGCCTGGCTTGCTCGTGATTCCGTAGACCATTAATAGATTGCGCTGAAGATTGTTGTCGCCAGCGAATCATTAACGTACAGCACTCGCTCTGTGATTGCAGACCATCCATCGGTGATCGAGTCGGAGCTTTTCGGCACCGCAATTCGTCAGTTCTGGGTCGAAGGTCCCAATGGACGGCACCTTTGCCTCGTGTACTCTGTCCTAGGATCTGATCTCTCCAGGCTTTCCGAAGGCATATACACAAGCGTCAAGCCGGATCTCTGCAAGTCCATAATGCTCCAAGTAGCTTAGGCATTGACTGTGCTTCATTCACACGGACTTTGCCACGGTGGTATGTCACCACGGAATTATGTGTACTCCAAATTTTCGACATGTCATCAATAGACTTTACTGCTAGCAATATTACACTGTGTCTCACCGATGAGTTTCATATCTACACGGAAGAGAACATTACCCGACTATTTGGTCAACCACAAACTTCGCCCGTTCGTCGCTGCTCTGAAGGGCCAACTGAACCTCATGCACCCGAATATATAGTCGAAGCGCTGGACTGGCTGGCACCACCCTCCAAACTGCTCAGCAGTAGAATATGCATCATCGACTTTGATCAATCCTTCACCACAGAGTCCGCCCCGAGTAAGCTTGGAACGCCGGCAAAGTCCATCGCGCCTGAAGTCGCTGTAGCCGAGCAAGCCAGCCCGGCGTCGGATTTATGGGCTCTGGGCTGCGCGATCTTTTGAGTTCGTTCTGGAGACGACCTTTTCTTCACTATGATACAAATTGCTTCGCAGACATTCTCAGACAGATCGTCAAGATGATGGGCGACTACCCGAGAAGTGGAAAGAAACACGTTTCGACGAGGATAGTAACCATCTGAGGACAGCGAGACCGGCAAACCGTTTTAGACCTTAGAGGAGACCTGGCCTTTGAAAGAGAGGGTACACCAGATCCTTGACGAGCCCCCGAGCTTGTTCATAGATCTGGACAGAGCTCCACAGGACCCTGCCGAGGTTGACACCATGCCGCCGCAATTTGACAGTGGTAAGCCCCCATGAGCACCTTACCCGGAGGCGTACTCGGCAATGCTTTGGAAAACCACAGCCGTTTGTGTGAATGGGGGCTACTTTGTTGCTTACTCGGACGAAAGTGATGAAATGCTAAAGACGTTCCCACACATCACTCACATCGAAGCTTCACAATTGGTCGAAATGTTGCTGGAGATCTTTGGGTACAATCCGGACAGCCGGGCGAGTGCACGAGAGCTCACGAAATTTGCGCGGTTCGGGACTTCTGATCTGTCTCGGAAGCGAGAACGAATTCAGGTCTGTCAATAGATGTGACCTCGCAGCCGTGAATCATTAGCCACCAGCAAGAATATCCTTACGCATATTATTACGATTGTTCTCAGATCAAGAAAGAAGAGGCCGTTGGATCATGCTCATAGCCCGAGCCACAACATCACAGAACTGGACTTTCCAGACTTGTCGTGAAACTTAATAACCACATCTCTGACATACAAAGGGTGCTTAAATTCTCAACTTGGGACGTGAACAGCATAATCAGTCGGCTTAAGGCCTTGATATGAGAGCGTGGCAGTGTAGTCCGAATTTTGCAAGCAGCCAATCAGAACTTCGAACATTTGCAGGATTCAATCTCGTGACGTATGAACCGCCCCCTCTTTGCCTTACTTTTTTGCTTTAGTGAACACTCTGGTGTCGGCACCAAGCAACTACGCGGGAACAAAGCAGTCCACGGACGGGAACACTGATCAGATGGAAGATAGGATATCCAATGTCATGGCAAACTCATCAAGGTGACAAGTTTTGTAATTAAATGGCGGGAAAAGTATCGATGCTGACTTGACAGTTAGCATTAGGTGGCAAGCCGCACTTGAGACTCTGACAGTCAAAGAAAGACAACAATTTGACGATTTCAGATTAGACAAGTTGGAGATCCTTGATGAGGTTCTTGCTGCTGTTGTAGAGAAAAAGGCCGAGTCACTCAGAAAGCGTTGGAAGTTCACACGAAATGGCAAAACCTATGTCATCAAGGACTATCTGGAGAATATAGTCACCTGGGTCGATAAGTTCAAGCATATCGGAGACATCGCGATACAATACGATCCTGCACATGCAGCACTTCCCTGGGCCGTCGTCCGATTGTTTCCCCAGGCGACTGTCGACAATGTGAAAACTTTCGGCATTGTATGCGAGAACATGAGCCACATCGCAAACATCATCAAGCGCTCTGCCGTCCTCGAAGATCTGTATCTTGGCCGGTGCCCTACCCATCTCATCGTCAGAACGCTTGTCGCGGACGGCTCAATGGATCGGGCGAGTGGCTACTGAAACACCGCGAATTCATCCACTGGCGAGGTAGCAGTTATTCTTCGGTGTTTTGGCTGCATGGCATCCCGGGTTGCGGCAAGACTAAACTTTGCTCAATGGTGATTGATGCCATCAAATCCGCAGAGCCAATTGCGTATTTCTACTGCACTCGCGATTCCCGCGAGCTCCTGAGAGGGAAATGTTCCGCAATAACTCAGAGCCTTCTGAGGCAAACAGTCGCCTTGTGCCCGACAAACATGATTCCAGAGGCCGTGCGCATCGCATACAAAAACATGAAAGACGAAGGATTCGGGGAAAGAGATCTAACAGAAGTCGAATGTGGAGATATGTTAGTTGACGCTACGAAGACATTTCCTTCTCTGACAATTGTCATTAATGCTGTTGACGAGTGTGATGAAGATGAAAGAACTGCACTCATCCATCTTCTCAAACGCGTCAGGGACAAGTCAGAGAACCTTGTCAAGATATTCATTTCCAGCCGAGACGACATCGATATCATGACTTCGCTAGCTGATGCAGTTGACAAACGGATACGAGCTGATGACAACATAGATGATATCGGCCGGTTCGTTTATCATAAAGTGGGCGCACTCATGGATTTGAGAGACCTCAAGTACGGAATTAGGATGCAAGGGCTCCGTGAAGAAATCATCAACGTTTTGACTTCTAAAGCACAAGGAATGTGAGTTGAATATTCTTACGCCGCTGATGGCGCCTTCGGTTTCGCTCAGTCTTTTCTTAGGTTCAGATGGGTGGGTATCCAGCTCGAGACTCTGAAGTGGATAAAGTTGGATGAGGATTTGCGGACGCAATTCGGCCAACTGCCTGACAATCTCAACGACTCTTACCAGGAGATTTACGACAGAATCTCTTCAGCGGGCAAGAACGCCAAGCTCCTCTCTGATAGTGTATTTCAGTGGTTGATGTACGGCAAAGAAACGATCGAAGCGAGGCACTTCGCCGCCTTTGTCTCAACCGCAACGGGCGTCTCTCGATACCCCCTCAAACCAGACCAAATCAAAGATGTCTGTGCTAACCTCGTCAAAGTCGATGACTCTCAGGGTATTTTCCGATTTGTCCACCTATCGGTTCGCGAATTCTTCGAGCAACTCCATAGTCGCGGCAGCGACAGTTTCACCCCGGCAAACGGGCATGCAGCTTTGGCATACCACAGTCTCTCTTGTCTCAGCCTCTCGCTAGAACAGGAATTAGAGGGGTCAAAGTTGATTTCACCTGGAAATAGCTTTCAAAAACCTTACGTTGCCTATCTACCAACGAACGGCCCCATCAAAAGATACATCGGCCATTTTTGGCTTGAGCACTTTAAGATGGCCGATAGACTCCGGGCTGGAGGCCCCTTGGACTCCTTATTCAGAAGCTTCATAGAGCATCGCCGCCAAGGCTCTTCTCTGTACGAGATGTGGTGTGACATCGCGTCGTTCCGAGGCAGCATTGGGGAGCTTGAGCTTGAGCGGTGTTACTCCGCTAGCCGAAAACCGACTCACCCTATTTGGTTGGCATGCGCTTTTGACCTGGATAAAATCGTGGATATCTGCCGTGTCGACAAGCACTTTGATTTGGAGATGACAACGGGTGGCGAGTTGACACCGCTTCTTGAGGCTGTAAGGCTTGGAAGTCTGCGAACCCTTCGCAAATTGTGCTCCGCGGGGGCCAATACACGAGCCATTACATCAAGATATCAGAAAGATGCGCTGTGGTTTGCTACTCAAACGTTCATCTCAAGGTTGTTGGAGAGCTTGAGAAAATCTGCTCGGCACACAGCGCCGGATTTCCCTGCAGGCCTACGATGTCAGTCGATCGTTGCGAAGCGAACAGGTTTCAGTCTGAAGATGACATCATCTGTGCGAACGTACCCTTTGAGCCCGTCCATGTCGACTATCTTGCTCATGCCTGGACAATGGAAGACGTATTATCTACGCTCAAGTCTATAAGTCGGCGAGATCAGTGGCTGAACCGTACGCGGTTGCAAAGTGTATGTTGGAGAGTCTGGGCTCAATTGAGAAACCAAACAGAGCGAGCATCTCCCGAAACACTGAATTGGTAAGTCACAATTCTTGGCTCTGATAAATCCAGCCACTTATCAGTCCTCTAGGCTGAAGGATCACGAAGTCACCTGGCTTTAAGGCCCATTCTTCCCGTTCAAGTCGAATTTCCCCATGGGGCCGCGCCGTCCTCTCAGAATATTATCACCTGCACAAAACGGCGGCCCCTTAAGATCGGCGCTTAAGGTAAGGTCATTAGCAAGCATTCTAGGCTGTGAGGACGGAACCCTGCGCGACACTCAAAAGCATGTTCGATTCAGTGATGGAGTGGTGCAAGTTGAACCATCGAATCAGAGCGAGGACCCCCCACTCATCGTGTTCGACTCGGATCGAGAGACGAGTGATCCGCTGTACTATTCCAACCGTATTTTCGCACTTGTGGCTTAAGTCCTAGGTTGGATTGAATCGATAACATGATGCTTATAGACACGAGTGATAAGGATGAAGTGATGTGATGAGCGTGGGGATCTCTTCTCTTCCTCGGGAATAAAGTGTGTCCAAAGAGCGTACGTGGTTCGTGCTATAAATTGATCGGCCGCTTTCCGATCAAACTCGGAAATGATGTGACATAAGGTGATACCTACTTAATTCAAAAGGCGAAGTAGCAACTCCATCGTTGCTTCAAACCTGGCAATCTTTGCTAAACTTGATACTTCAGTAACAATACCATCTCCTACGACTTGAATTCGCCCTCCATTTGAATGCCTGAACCAAACGTTGTGAGTATGTTCAATTTCTTTTTGATTATTTCGGCACGAAAGAACCAGAAGTCCAAGTCTTTTATGGTGGCTTGCTTCCCGGAAGCTTTTGCGTGGAACGAGTAATTATTAATTGCCATTCTTGAATACCCAACGGTCTCTGATGAGTCCTCGCAGACGTGAGTAGGCGCATCCACTTTGCTCACTACCTTACTGTTACAACCCAACATGCATAACAAGGCCAGGGGGGCCGCCCCACAGGCCTGCGGCGGCTATCTACCTGATATACGCAGAGAATCCGGGAACTCAGGTGACTCCTCATGGAACGGAAGAACTATGGAACAAGTCACGTGACGATAAGGAAAGTGAGCACACGATAAGGTGATTACAGTGATCACCCAAAGTGAGCGCTCACCAGTATCCACTTAGTGATCACCAACGAACATGGTGACCAGGCAACAAAGGATATGTTCAGGATCAGGACTTGTATATAGGATGGACTCGAGCCGGGCTCTAGGACAGACTTCCCATAGCTTCTTCAGCAATTAACTTCGTATCAGGATTAACATCCGCTTTCAGCTACTACCTTGACAAGACTACGATTGATCACCGAAGCCTTACCTACCCTTACGATTGACAGACATAGTTTCCTTGAAACTATTCCACGACTACGATTACTGTTACCAGTTCCGCAGCCTCAACTTCTGCAAACTACCCCTACGACTAGCTGGCCGTAACACTTACCAGGAATGAGAGGTAAGTAGTTTCCCCTGTAATCCTCGAGCCACTATAAGTAGCGGTAATGGTACCGTCTATAGTTACTAGCTAAATAACTATTACTCAGTAATTAAGTTATCAGGAGTTTTAAGAGTTATTAATAGAATATATGAGTTACTTCCTATAAATTTAAATAACGGTAATATTAAGTAAAAATATACAATTAATAAGGGGTATAATATAAATTCAAATAATATGATTGTCTTCTTTAAACCCGTATAGTTACTCTATAACTAGTTATTATTTTCCTTAAAATTAACGTGGTTCATCAGTCAGCGACGAATATCAGTCAGCGACGAACTTTTTCCCATGCACGTAATGGTATTTACTATTGCACAACCACAACACATTGATGTTACAACCCAACATGCATAACAAGGCCAGGGGGCCCGCCCCACAGGCCTGCGGCGGCTATCTACCTGATATACGCAGAGAATCCGGGAACTCAGGTGACTCCTCATGGAACGGAAGAACTATGGAACAAGTCACGTGACGATAAGGAAAGTGAGCACACGATAAGGTGATCACAGTGATCACCCAAAGTGAGAGAACACATACCTCGAAAGGTACCCACTGTTAGTAATTGTTAAGGTTATAGAGGGCTACGGCCCACTGCACTATCATCTCTCAACATCAGCCCATACGAGCTGAATTCCACGACCATGGCGGTCTCCCTAGATGTAGGGCCATCGATCACGGTTCACGGGGACGCCGGTATATCTCGGCGGTCGGGACGAGTCCGGAAGCCGACTGCAAAGGTCAGAGTGGTTGAGCAGGTTAACCACCAGGATAACTCTGAGCTTAAAGACGAGATCAACAAGCTTTCGAATCTTGTCCAGGACCTCCTACGTCGGGACGCCGAGAGGGAACAGTTTTTGAAAGACTGTTTGACGAAGATCGAATCCTTGGAGAGAGAACTTCAGGAGGAGAAACAGCGTTCAAACCGGCATCAACGTGGTCTAGCAAGGTCTATGCACGCTATTGGCACAGGGCCTAGCGAGACTGACCTGAGTTCCCAGGGGCATCCCTCGCACACAACCCAGAACCAGCCGCCCCCAGTCCGTTCATACGCGGCGGCGGCGAGCCAGCCACTGTCCAGAAGACAGGATGAACCAACGTCAGCCAAACAAGGCGCAAAACAAGCTACAAACCGGGCGGCCTTAAAGGATCTACGCGTCTTCGCGCGTCTATCGCCTGAAAGCCCGCTTCGGAACGAGAAAGCTTACGATATATACATCTTCGTTCGGGAAAGGCTAAGTCCCAAGCCCGAGAAGCCCTCAAGGGGATCGACCATGTCAAGACAGGATTAGCACTCCTACCTTCGTCAATGGAAGGTGCAAAAGTCCTGCTAGAGAACAGAGAACAGATCGCTGCCCTTCTCCAAGCGCAAGCGATCGAGCAACGCGATACCTGGATCCGAGCCTATATCGCAAACGTCCCTTACACCAGGCATTGTCTGGTAACCAACACTGAGCTGGAAATCACGACCGAGGAGCTCCTTGAAGAGATCCAGGTCTCGACGAAACTCAAGCCTGAAAAAGCACACTTCTCTAGGAAGGACGAAGTCGAAAGGCTAGGCACGGTGACAGCCTGGTTCAAGGCGGAAGCCGTAAGGCAACTACCAAGACGCCTCCGTTTGATGGGGGCCAGCGTTTTTGTAAACCTGCAGTTCCCGAAGGAGAAGAGGTCTCCTCAATGTCTCCGCTGCGGCGGTTTTCACAACGAACGAACGTGCACCAGAAGGAAGAGATGCCTCAAGTGCAGCTCTCCTTCCCACACAACTGATCAACACCGGGCACCCTGCGGCGGCACTGAGGGTCACGATGGCTGCGACTGCCCCTTTAAATGCCCGTCGTGTAACGGGCCTCACGCCGCCTTCGATGCGACTTGCCCTATCCAACCCAAAGTGGTGAAGGGGGTAGTCCAGAGGAGGGATAAGGCTCAGCTACGGGCCATCCGAGCTGAGGGAGAAAGATTATGGAGAAATGCGACCCAGTAGTCGCATCGACATTCCCGTAAAGAAGAATAAGCGATGGACTGTACCCCGGCGAATAAGATATAAAAGAAGAATATAGCCCTCTAAAACCCTACAAATTATATAAGCGAATGTGGGTAGGCGGGCATCCGCCCACGAAACAGTACTGAACCTGGCTTACGTAGCCTAGATCGATATACTCTTAATATAAGAGCCGTCTATCTGTTCGGAGGAGAGGAGGCTTATAAGACACCACCTAGGTTTTGAGACTTTCGCCCTAGTAGATAACTAGACTAAAGACCGTCCAGGGTACTTACCTACCTCCGTAGAGGAACTGGGGTACGAGGCGTATAAACACGGCCTCTACCCGATCCATCTATAGACTGCTCTTTTTACGACTCCTCTTAAGAACGAAGGAGGTCCTTATAGT